CAGCGTCTACAGTGCCATTCACCCTACAGAGTCCCCCTGGGATCAACCTGAGGCTAGACTCCAGCTGAGCCCACATCTTTGCCTGGTTTCTTCCTGTTGTAACTTGTTTCCATCTCCTCCTTACTGGTTTCTCCTGAGAGCCTCTCTCAAGAAATCACTTAGTGGGGCACCTGGGTGGCTCAGTCGTTAAGCGTCTGCCTCCTGCTCAGGTCATGATCCCAGGGTCCTGGGATCGAGCCCCGCATCAGGCTCCCTGCTCAACGGGAAGCCTGCTTCTCCCTCCCCCACTCCCCCTGCTTGTGCTCTCTCTCTCTCGCTGTGTCTCTCTCTGTCGAATAAATAAATAAAATCTCAAAAAAGAAAGAAAGAAAGAAATCACTTAGCCCAGAATTCCTGTCTCAGGCTCTGCTTCTAGAAACTCAACCTAAGACATCAACCAAATAAACCACCTGAACTGATAACAGATCCCTTTCTCCAAAGTGCACCACCACTAGGCACTTCTGACCAGCACATGTGTGAGTTTCCACACTGTGCTGACCTCACACCAACCAAAAGCGAAGATACTGCTGGCCAGACTTTGTACAAGTTCATACATGGTTTCCAAAGAGGGACAGAAAATATTGACAATAACTCGTGCATGCATTTCTATGCCCACCACCCATGGACCTAAGGTCCCGAGGCCCCCAGCCTGAGAACTAGTTCCCCCTGAAATCATGATCCCAGACACTTTAGCTGGATTTCCTGACAATTGGCTGAGAGCAGGACAGGCAAATGGGGTTGGGAGGAGGAGGGTCATGGGATCGAGCCCCACATTGGGCTCTGTACTCAATGTGGAGCCCATTTGAGATTCTCTCCTTCTCCCTCTGCCCCCCCCCCCACTTGCTCTCATTCTCTCTCTAAAATAAGTAAATAAATAAATTTTTTTTAAAGATTTTATTTATTTATTTGAGAGAGTGCAAGTACAAGCGGGGGTGGGGGGCAGAGAGAGAGGGAGAAACAGACTCACCACTGAGCAGGGAGCCCGATATGGGACTCGATCCAGGGATCATGACCTGAGTCGAAAGCAGATGCTTAACCAATGAAGCTGCCCAGGTGCCCCAAGAAATAAATCTTTTAAAAAAAGAAGGCCAGTCTCTGACTGATGGCATGAGGAGAGCCACCACCAACCCTGAACTGCTAGGTGAGAAATAATCTCTCTTCATTAAGCCACAGAATTTGTAGGGAGTCTTTGTTACAGCAGCTGTGCCTTGTCTTAGCTAGGAAACCTGCCCAACATCCATTTCCTCTCTGGTCATAGCACCCGCTTTTCTGCTGGGGAACCACTTTCCTACTCCCAAGCCGGTGGTGTGGCTGACCTGCTCACACCACCCTGGCTTCAGGAGAGGCAGGAGCATGGCTGCCTATCTCCCACAGCACAGTGACAGTCTCAGGGTGGAACCAAGAGCCAAATCGAGCCACTTAGAGACAAGAAGTATCAGCCCAAGATCTTTGGCTGAAAGACAAACCCTTCTTCTGCTGAGCCGCTGTACTATGGGACAGGAGTCCAGAGCAATGGTTGGCCATGAGATCCCCACTTGAACCTGCCTGAGATAGAAGTCACCTTCAGGAAAACCAGATACAAGACAGAGAGAAAGATGAGTGATAACATGATTTAAGCACCTAGATCCAGCCATCCCTGGAGCTGGAACAACCCTAGATTTGTCAGCCAATACATTCTCTTTTCTGTTAAAGTCATTTTACTTTTTTTAATTTATTTATTTTTTAAAGATTTTACTTATTAATTTGATAGAGAGATAGAGAGCACAAGTAGGCAGAGGGAAAGGGTGCAGAAGCAGGCTTCCCGCTGAGCAGGGAGCCCGATGCGGGGCTCAATCCCAGGACCCTGGGATCATGACTTGAGCCGAAGGCAGATGCCTAATGACTGAGCCACCCAGTCTCCCCAAAAGATTTTATTTTTAAGTAATCTCTACACCCAGTGTGGGTCTCGAACTCACAACCCTGAGATCAAGAGTTACATGTTCCACCAACTGAGCCAGCCAGGCACTCCTGGTAGTCATTTAATTTAATTTATTTGTTATTTTTTAAAAAATATTTTATTTATTTATTTGAGAGAGAAAGTGAGACCGAGAGAGAGAGGCCAAGTGGGCAGAGGGAGGGGCAGAGGGAGAGGGACAAGCAGACTCCCTACTGAGCAGGGAGCCTAATGCGGGTTTGATCCCAGAACCCTTGGATCATGACCTGAGCCAAAGGCAGACACTTAACCAACTGAGCCACCCAGGCACCCCTGATAAAGTCATTTTAAACTGAGTTTCTGTCACTTGCAACCAAAAGAGTTCTGTTTGATAAAAATCTGTGCCAGGGCCACCTGGCTGGCTCAATCAGTGGCACATAGGGCTCTTGATCTCAGGGTTATGAGTTCAAGCCCCATGTTGGGCATAGAGCTTACTTTAAAAAAGAAAAAAAATTTTTTAAATCAATAACTAAAAATCCATCCCTAAAGAGAACATCATGTCAGCTAGTTCACAATTCCCTGTGCAAACCAGACCAGAGACCAGCTGCCCCAGCTAGTCATTTAGATCATCCCTTACAGGAATACTCATTTTTGTTGTCAAAATTACCCAGATCACTGTGGAAAGCAAATCATGCTCTCTAGACGCTCTCCCCTGCATCAAGTGCTAGGAGACGACAGGATGTCAGCAATTGGCCCTCTGCAGCCAGGGCCAAGGCCTCGGCGCTGGCTGTCCCAGGAGGCTGCACCACGTGGCCTTCACAACATCCCACTCTGCTGCTCTGGATCCCAAGTGCATCCCCAGCCACCGCGGATGCTTGAACGTGGCCACGTAGACCAAGCTCCTGGACCTTCATGTGAGGCAGAGCTCCTAGGACCACGGCGACCCTTCAGGATGGCTCTGGGGCACGGGGTGTTGCTGTTCAGAGAAACCAAAAGCGTGAGGATCTCCCAAAGCCTGCCCTCGTCTCATGCCTGCCTCTTGCATAGTCCAAATTGAACCGGGGATGGGGGGGTTGCGGGGAGTTCTTTCCTTTCTTAAGGGTGGGGAGAGGGAAAGGGGTATTTTGACCAGAGTTAGGATTCGTGGCACTTTCCTCCGGCCACCAGCCGATGGCCCCTGCGGCTGCCTCATCTGCTTCTGGGCACCAGGACGCTGACCCCCTTGGGAGTGCTCTGAGGATTGTTCCAGAGAACGCTGTGCAGCCAGGGGTGCCAAGCTGGGTGCCCCACATCATAGGGGCTCCACAGAACGGTTTATTTCCTCCACCAAGAAAGAGGAGTGGTGGGCGCCTGGGTGGCTCAGTCGTTAAGCGTCTGCCTTTGGCTCAGGTCATGGTCCCAGGGTCCTGGGATCGAGCCCCTTTGGAGGACTCCCTGCTCAGCTCCCTCTCCCACTCCCCCTGCTTGAGTTCCTGCTCTCACTATCTCTCTCTCTGTCAAATAAATAAATAAAATCTTAAAAAAAAAAAAAAAGAAAGAAAGAAAGAGGAGTGGACTTGCAAGAGAAATGTTCACTTGCCATGCAGCTGAAATTGTCCAGATCTTGGCATAATGCCTGGCCCACAGTGTGGGAAAGGAGGACATTGGAGGGTGGGGGGTGGGGGAGAGAGGCAGGAAGAGAGGTGGAGGGAGGAGGGAGAGGAAGCGAGGGGAGGAGGGAGGAAGTACGAAAATGGCGCCATCACCCAAATGTTCCCCAGACCAAGAAGCGGCCTGGTCTTGACACAAGATTTTCTTCCTCTTCCAGGGTGAAAATGAGGCTGGGGCCCTCAGACCCGGGGCACCGGGGGAAGGCAGCTGAAGGACCGCAGGGTAGAGTAGGTCAGCACTCCAATCTGTTCAGGCAGCTCCCCGGACTAGGGAAAATCTCTCTCGGCCACCATGGTTCCGAGGGGTCGGGCCCTTCCTGCTACCCCTCCAGTCATGGAAGGACCCTGGAAACCACCTGGCCACCTCTCTCGTCCCCAGGGCCTCCTGCCTCTCCTTTGCCCGATTTCCGTCTCAGGTCTGCTTTATTGTGAACCTCCTGGGCCTCTGGGGCAGGCCTCCCAGGTGAGGAGATGAGGATGGCCAAAGGTCACAGAGCTCAGCAGTCACATGCCCCGAAGGAGACTGCTGTCCCTCCCACAAGGGCACAGCGTGCACCAGGCCAGCCAGCATTCCTCCGGGTCCCGAGTTCGTGGCTTCTCCGCCAGGGCCAGACTCAAGGGAGGGGCAAGTGCCTGCAGCCACCAAGTCCCAGCCCCAGAAAGCCAGAAGCGTCTCCACAGTGACCTCAGGGACACAAAAAAGCATGGATGACGAAAGCATCCATGAGTGACCTTCCCCGTCCACCCCAGACGTCTCTGCCCATCTGCCTTGGGGGACCTGTTCACCTGCCCTCCTACCCAGTGCTCAAGATCTGCTTCCTCGAACTCACCAACCAATACAAAATCACCCACCCCAAAGAACCTGAAGTCGAATGTCACACATTAGGCCCTAGACAGGGAGCTAGAACCCAATGCTCTGTTTTGTTTTTATGAGGAAAGTTCCACAAGAACATTTCATTTATTAAAATAATTCCTGTAAACTCTTTCGGAATAATAAAATTCATTTTCCTTGCTTGAGTAGCACGGCAAGTGAAAGTACTTTTATTTCAAGGCACCATAAAATGAGTCTCTCTAAGAACACCTCTGCCTCCACATGTGAAAATCCTAAAAGAAAGAAAGAAACAAACAAACAAAGAAACAAAGAAACAAAGAAAAACTCCTCATGGTGATCATGACCATCCACAAACTTTTGTTAATTTCGACTATTCAACAGGACATGGGGTACGGGGGGCGGGGGGGGGCCAGACACCACTATTATCATCAACAACCCTTAGATCTGTTCTAGGCCCTGCTCAGGCCCCAGAAGGGCAGCGGGACGAACTGAACCCAAGTGGGGCAGGGGACCTTCAAAACCCCAAATCCCTGTAAACACGGCAGCTCTGGCTGCCTGCCCACCCCCCTCACTTCTCCTCCTCCTCACTCAGGTTGGCATTCTCCTGGCGCGTGGACATGAGCTTGGTTTGCAAAAGAGCCGCTAGTTTTTTGGATGTCTTTTTGAGAAAGGCGCTGCCCGGGTGGGCACTGTTCACGTGCAGGTACAGGTCCTCCTGGGTGGGACCCGTGTAGCCACAATCCTCGCAGACGTAGAGCTTGTCCCGGCGTTGCTTGTAGGCGTACTGCTGCTGCACCCCGTGGATCTTCTTCAGGTGAGACTCCAAAGAGCAGCGCTGGGTGAAGGCTTTGTTGCAGATGTCACATTTGTAGGGGCGAATGCCTGTAAGGTCGACGGGCAGACACATCACCAGTGGGTCAAAGCCAAGCCAGAGTCTCCGAACCATGAAGCCATTGAAAAACACGACGCACAAAAACAAAAACAAAAACAAAAACAAAAACCATGATGCACAACCCAATAGCAAAAAAAGCAAACCGCCTGGTTCAAAACCGGGCAGAGGAACTGAATAGACCTTTTCCCAAAGGAGGCATATGCAAAGAGCCAACAGGTACGTGACAAGGTGCTCCACACCGTTGATCGTCAGGAGAGTGTGAATCACCTCCCACCTGTTAGAATGATTCCCATCAAAGACAAGAGAGAGCAAGGGTTCTTGAGGATGTGGAGAAAAGGGAACCCCCGGGCTCTGTTGGTGGAAATGTAAACTGACACAGCCATTATGGAAACCAGTATGGAGGCTTCCCAAAAATCAAAAATAGCACTATCACGTGATCCAGAAATCCCACATCTAGGATATATATTCAAAGGAAATGAAAAGAGGATCTGAAAGGCACATTGGCACACCCGTGTTCACTGCAGCATTATTCACAACAGCCAAGAACATGCAAATAACTTAAATGTCCATCAACAAATGAACGGATAAAAAAGATGTGGTATATATTTATACAATGGAATATTATTCAGCCATGAGAAAGAAGGAAACCCTGCTATTTGCAACATCATGGATGAACGGCGAGGGCATTATGTGAAATAAACCAGACGGAGAAAGACAAATGCTGCGTGGTATCACTTATGTGTGGAAAAGTCAAACCCATAGGAACAGAGCGGATCAACAGTTGCCAGGAGCTGAGGGGTAGAAAAAATAGGGAGAGAAAAAAAGTCAGCCTGACCAGGGATTCAACATGAGAAAAATGATTAAGGCAGGAGACAAAGTATGACTCTAAGGGTTCGATGCAAACTTAGCAAAGAAACACCACCTGGCTTTGGGAGGAAGGGTTTTGGTTTTCCCACTTGTATGCCTTAATGTTTTGATTTTATAGTGGGCAGAGTAAACCTCGTTTCTATTTTAGTTGCGGTTTTCCTGGGAACAAACCCCGTGACAAAAATCCCAGCAGCGCCTGTCGGTGAGTGAAGAGGTGGGGCAGCAAGAGGAAGGAGCCCTACAAGGTGGGGACAGCAAGGCAGTCACTGCTGTGGGCGACCACAGTCCACTTCCACCGGACAAGGTAGAACACTTACCTCTGAGTCATCCTGCCCCTCACGGCTAGGGTCTTCCTCCCACCCCCGCCCCACTCCAGCAGCCTGTCAGGGGCCATCCCTGGGGGGTGCACAAGAACAGTCTCAGGCAGAGTTGCAGGTGTGGGCAGCTGCAACATGGATGGGTGTGCCCAGAAATGGCAGGAGCCAGGGGTGTGGGCGGGACATGGGTGGCATCTGCTACGGTTATGAAAGCGTTTCCCAACTAGATCTCATGCTGGCCTTAGCAATGGGCTAATACTGGTAGCGCTTGCCTTCTAGATGGAGAGTTCCCATGTGCCATCTCCACCAGGGAGCTCAGCCTCGTGAAAGCACAGACCTCCCTATTTCCACTAAGAGCATTCATCCTGACTGTGAGGGCAGAAAGTCACATGGACTGATGTAAGTCAGACCTAACGTAGGCTCTAAAGGACGAGTATCGTGCTGGGGTACAGGGAGCAGAGAGGGGGCGGCCCCCACAGTCAGACCATCTTAGAGCCCAGAGGCCAGCTGAGCCATCCCCTACGGGGATCCCCGAAGCCTGAGATGCAAAACTTTAAGGGCATGCCAAAAACTCATCAGTCGAGTGAGATAATATTTCAAAAATCGAAGCACATTAAAAAAAATCCATAGGACCCAGTGATCAAAATCTTAAACAAGACCCAACAGTGCCATCCTGGAGCTTGAGGCAAAAGGAAAGACGAGCACTCTATGTAGATGTTTTCATGTATTTTTTAAATGGTTATTCTTTTCCCCATAATGTGCTAGCTGTTGAAAAAAATATACTGAACAACTGAAAAGTAGCTGAATTAAAACTCACATTTTAAAATGTTTAAATATTTTTTTTAACACAAAAATGGAATTTATGATGATTTTACTATCCTGGCTTTAATGGAAGCAAACTTATCCAAAGATATTTTCAAAATCTACTTTTTTAGCTTCAAAATAATCTGGAGGATTTCTCCATGTTGGTGCCTACAGTTCGGTTTCATTCCTTTTCACAGCACCGTGGTGTTTTGTTGGACGGCTATACCCAAATGCCATCTTTCACAAGCCAGAGACAGACTGACTGCCTTGTACAACCGGTCCTCACGCATGCTCCTCGGGCCAACAGTCAAACTGCGTCCCCTGGGAGCTTGTAGGAAAAGCAGAGTCCTAGCCCCACCCACCCCACACCCGCCCCGACTAAATAAAATGTGGAGCTGTGGTCCTCAAACCCAGGGGGCTCATCAAAACACAGATTCCTGGCCCCAGCCCTGGTGTTTCTCTTTCTGGGACAGGGCTAAGACTCCTGTGTTTCTAGCCTGTTCCCAGGTGATACGGAGGCTGCTTGTCCCAGGACCTCTTTGGGAGTCACCTGTCTAAAGCCTTGCCAAATGAGGTGTGACCAAAATGAACATTTGAGTAGACCCATTACCAGCAAGGAGATTGAATCAGTAATCCAAAAACTCCCAACAAACAAAAGGCCAGGACCAGACGGCTTCACCGACAAATTCTACCAAATGAGGCATGAGGACGGCACTTTGGGGGTCTGAAAGCAGCTCTGGCCCCAGTATTTTCTCTCCCAGGTTAAATGTCCCCACTTCCTTAATGGTGGCTCATGGAGGGGGGACGAGAGAGCCCCTCCTGTTCACGAAGTGCGCAGATGATACGGGAAGTTGAAATGGAAAAAAATATTCCCCCCACCCCCATCCAACCACCTGAACAAACCAAATCACTTCCATTTCTCATGCAGTCCACGTCCAGAAGCACACACGTGAAGCGTATCCCGTAACACTCGAGCAGAATGCAGGTCGATCTCATATTCCACACATTCTAGAAAACTGCCAGAAGTTAAGAAACTCCTTTATAATCCTCGGCACTGAGCACGTAATAGGTGGTCAGTAAATAATTTTTAAATGAAGGAACGAATGAATGAACCCCTACTGGCCCGGAGAAAGAGATTTCAGAAACAAATTTAAGGAACAGGGCTGCTTTGGGTTTCATGCTCCAGCCCTAGAGGGCTCTGTATCTCTTCAGGCTTTCTGGGCAGGGACAGCAGCTGGCTCCCCCACCTTCTGGCAGAGCAAGCAACAAACCTGATTTCAAACCCACAGCTCATCACAATAGAAATTCACCCAGAGGGGCGCGTGGGTGGCTCACTCGTTAAATGTCTGCCTTCGGCTCGGGTCATGATCCCAGGATGGTGGGATCGAGCCCCGCATCGGGCTCCCTGCTCAACGGGGAGTCCACTTCTGCCTCTCCCTCTGCCTCTGCCTCTGCCTCTCCCCACCCTGCTTGTGGCACTCTCTCTCTCTCTCAAATAAATAAATAAAATCTTTTTTTTTTTTAAAAGAAATTCACCCAGAGACCAGTCACTCCTTTCAATAGTTACTGGAAGTAACCCACTACTGTTTTACATCCAAACTAAACATGTGGGGAGAACAGTGCACTTACCCCTGGCGAGCTCCTAGCCCCCCAGGAAGGGAAGCTTCCAGTCCTGCTCTAGGAAGCCCCGCCCCATTGGTGACCCAAAAAGGTGATCTGAAGTGGCTGCTGACCAGGGCTTTGCCGGATCCCTGGCCCCTGGCAGAGGTGAGCGTGCCAGGAGCGCATTTCCTTCTGCATCCAACAGGTCAGCCGAGCACTTTCCATGGACAGAGCACCCAACAAGGCCCGGACAGCAAAGACTAGAGATTCCAGAGCCCTCCATCATCCGGATGATATAGAAAGAATGGGAATGACCACTGCGGGTGGTCTTTGCCCAGGGAGTGTGGGATGTGAGCCTGGCTTGGAGGAGAGGGGACTAGCAGACACCAAGATGGATGGAAGACAGCAGACACCGAAAACTCCAGTTCGGGCAATTCTGGCTTCTGCACACGCACTTCACGTCCCTTCTCTGGAAATAGCACATTCATCCATCATTCACTGGTGCAAGCAGACACTGTCATGCAGCAGCCCCCTGGGGTGACCCTTTCTGGGCTTGGGAACAAACCCCTGCCTCCTGGAAACCCCGTCCCGCCATGAACACAGGGGTGGGTGGGAGATGAAGGTGGCCAGAGAGGACCCCTGGGCAAAAGAGATTGATGCCAGGGCCTCCCCAACTTCGGGGACTCACCCACCTTAGCGCTCTGGAGCCAAGGCCAACCTTGTCCATGTCCGGAGTGGGATACCAGAACTGGAAAACACTACACCCTACCAGACATCATTAACCTACTGACACCACACAACAAGAGTCCGAGGCCTCTGAAAACCCACACATCACACACCTGCTTCTCATCACGTGAGCCCATGATAGACGGCTGAACCCCTCCAAACCTCAGTCTCCTCACCTGTAAAGTGGGGATAACACCCATATCCCCTTGTTAGGCTGCTCTGGGGATTAATGGAGACGTCATCTGCAAAGGGCCCAGCACGTATTACGTACTCAGTGAATACAGCTCCAAAGAGTTTACAATCCAGCCTAACAGAACACCAATATGCTCTATTCCTAAACTGGCTGGTGGGCACATATGTAGTATTTGTCTTTCCACTGGCTCTCTATATGCACTTTTTGTATTTGCACGCACTTTGGGATGTGTTGTTTATTTCACAGTGGGGAAAAAAAAAAGGGATAATTGTTTTCAATGTGGTCATTAGGTGTCTGGTGGAGAGACCTCCTTCGCCGGCAACCGTTTCAGATGTTGTGCTTTATGGCCTCTGTGACCTCATCCAAAAAATACTGCATTGGGTTATCCAAAAGGATTTCTTCTCTTCAAATTTTCTATTCCTATTACCAAAATCAAGCTTCCTATCACACATCTCCAAAGAAAATTCTTCGCTACTGGTGC